CATCGTTTGTTCCTAAGTTTTAGCCACAGCAATGAGACTCCTGCTTTCCTTCCACTCCTCTTCTGTCAGGCTCCATGAAAATCACTCATTTGTTCTCTTGCAAAACACACAACCCCACTAATGAAAACCTGCTGGCAGAAGCAACAGGCACATCTCACCTAACAAATTCATGGGATGTCCAGATCTGGAAACAGAAACTTTCCTACCGAGCAAGGGTGTGCTGATCTCTATCACTTTGACGCCAGGATGCCCGGGAGCGCAATCAATACAAAACAAATAAATTATTAATTGCTCCAAGTGATTAAATTTATCAAATCCGAATAAAAATAACTGATATTTTATGGAGCTGCTCCTGAAGCTGAGCCTCTGAAGGGACAGTATTGATCACAGGAGGACAGACAGATGTTTCACATGTTCGCAGCCGATGAGGTCTGGGTTTGCATTAATGACAGCGAAGGAACAGAGCCAACAGCCTCCGACGCAGAGTAAACAGGCGGCGTGCTCGGCCATTTAATTCAGGGTCAGATCAAACACGGAGAATAAACACGCCTATAACATACGGCACCATCTTCCTCTAGAAATATTGTTCACCTTGGAGCTGCGGTAAGCACTCAGTTCCCGCTCCAAGACAAAAAAATAATTTATAAAATGGGAGAGAACTCACACACACACACACACACACACACACAGCCCCCACAACGACAGTAAATTCTCACTCATTAATCAGCCCTAAAAAAAACGCTGGGCAGGCTGGTAAATATTTAAAAGCTGGCGAGTGCGAATATTTGAATCGATGGGTACTAAAGCTGTACTTGTAATTTTCCTTCCTCTACTTCTTCTTTTAATGGGTTTGACTGGTAAATTGTCTACAAAATCCCAGTTAGCGGCTGGAGGGAGGTGGCCAGCTCTGAAGGACCAACCTGGAGCATCCCTCAGTCCTTTCTGAGGTTTCCACAAACTCCTTTTCACCCCCGAGTTGTGTTTTGTTTCCAGATGAGACATCACTCAATCGATTCTCTTCCAGTTCCTTTGTTTCCAAACCCGTGACAACAGAGCAAGGACACTGACTTACACCTCGAGGCGCAGCAGTGGGGACAGACATCCACCCTTTCCCATCCTTCTCCTTCCTCCTCAAAAGCACCGCTGCAGCAATTCAACACCATTAATGAAATCGCGACTTAAAATTCGCAGATAAGGCTGAGAGAGAAGGTGTGCAGCTTAAAACACCCTGAAGAGATGTGAAGCATGCCAAAGTCAAGTGCTCTGAGCACAATAAAGACAAAGGTTAAACTTAAAAGGAAGCTGAACACGACACGGTACGGAAACGCTGCGGCGAATTCAAAACTCTGCTCTACCCTGCAGAAGCAACACGATCACAAACATGTGGTTGTTGCTGGTTTGCCTGGAAAAGGTTCAACAGCTCCCACGTTCCTTTCCTTCAGGCAGATCCTCAGCAAAGCTTTCCTTCCTCATAGCGCCCCGCTTTCCCTGCAGCCTCTTCCTCTCCTTTCCCTGTCCCAATTCTCTCCCCATCTCTCACTGCCTCTGGCTCTTTGGCTGCCCGCCCTCCCAGCAGAGCACACCCAGTATAACAGGAAGTTTTCCAGAAGTAATGCTTAGGATTAATAACACATTGCTGGTGTTATTTTCATAACTAACAGCAAAGGCAAAGGTCTAAAACTCCTTTGAAAGCAACTCATGAAAGGCTCACCCCCTTCCAAAACATCCACTACAGCCTCCTGCTCTCAGTGGCACCAAGGCAATGGGTTGCCTTGAATTAAGACGAAGCTTTTCATAATGCCCAGCTTCCTACTACCTCAGAGAAACTCGCAGTCTGTGCTGTCAGGAGGCAGAGGGGAAATCCCACGCAGAGCAAGGGCACGGGGGCTGTGGCCTCCTTTGCCTGTGGCCACAGCCCTATGGAGAACAATGGGAGACTGAAGCCATTGTGACAGAAGGCAACTTGTGGAAAACTCACTGGAGAAGATTACTCCAGCATCTGCCGAAGGAGAAACTTTCAGTTATGAAGAATAACGGCCGTAAGTGACCATTAATCCTAGGGAGGAGAAAAAAAAGCCTTCAAATTCAGCCTGTGCGTAAGGTTTTGTAAGCTTTAACGACAGTGGGAATTCGAAAAGCCAGAGTTATTATCCTAAAACACACGAGGAACAAATTAAGTTGGATGCAGACTGCTAACTTTTTCTTCAAGGACTCATTTCTATAAATTAATTGCAACTCCAGTTTTCAGACTAATTGTAAATCTTCAGGGGAAGAAGAAAAAAAAAATCATCATCTCCCTAATCAAAGAGTAAGTGCTATTATCCTGGAGATGATATGGTACATTTTTCACACGTGACAGAGGTTGAGTCCCCGATCTCCGTGCAAAAATCCAACTTCACCTGACTACGAAGGCGTAAAGCACGGTAGCAAAGTACAAAATAAAAGAGGACAAAAGAAGCCTTTACGTGAGCAATGCTTTAGGTCCTCAGGCAAAATAACTTACTGCAGGATGCCATAAGCCTTTGGAAATCGTTTTCCAGGGCGCCCAGTGCAAAACATCTCACACTGGATGCTTCCAGCACAGCACACCAGTCCCTCACTCAGTCCTAGTTGGCTCTCACCCTAATCAATTCCACATCAGCAGCGTGTAAAGGGTTTGCCACCTAAACCCCACAAGTAAAATAATTCAGATTAGCATGGATTGTCAAGTCTATACCACTTAGCACTTCAGCATCTCTTACCCATTCAAAAGGCCCATACTGACCTCACGTAGTTAATTCTCCCCATTACCCATATGTGAAGCAAGTGAGTCTACCAGCTTTCATTTTAAAAACAGGGAAGACTCGAATTAGGAAGCCAGATGACTGACTAAAAGCCACAAATGAATTCATTTTGCTGAGTTGGAGGAAGGTTTCACATTTCCAAGCAACAAAGTCTTGTTTTTCCACTTAAATCGGTGATTTGCAATCTTTTCCAATTTGCAGACCACCAGCACTTCTAATAACGGCATTTATCTCCTTAAAAATCTCAAGCAGAGCATAGAAAGTTGCGCTAGGTCATCCCAGGAGCTTGGGTAGTGCAGGCTGAAAGTTGCTGAATCAGACTGCCACTTATCACTGCATTTCGTGAGCACCAAAGAGAACAGGGAGAAGCATGGAGCACCCATTTTCACAAAGGCTGGGATTTGAATTCACAGAATCACAGAATGGCTCGGTTGGAAAAGCCCTCTGAGATCATCACGTCCAACCGTTCCTGTCTACCCCCTAAACCATATCCTTAAGTACCTCGTCTGCCCGCTCTTTAAACACATCCAGGGATGGTGACTCCACCACCTCCCTGGGCAGCCTGTGCCAGCTTCTGACGACCCTCTCAGGAAAGAACTTCCTCCTTCTCTCTAACCTGAACCTCCCTTGGCACAGCTTGGTGCCGTTTCCCCTTGTTCTGTCCCCCATCACCTGAGGGAAGAGACCAGCACCCACCTCTCCACAACCTCCCTTGAGGCAGTTGTAGGTGGTGATGAGGTCTCCCCTCAGCCTTCTCTTCTCCAGGCTAAACAAGCCCAGTTCCCTCAGCCGCTCCTCATCAGGCTTGTTCTCCAGAGCCCTCACCATCCTTGTGGCTCTGCTCTGAACACGCTCCAGAATCTCAACATCCTTCTTCTAGTGAGGGGCCCAGAACTGAACACAGCACTCGAGGTGTGGCCTCACCAGTGCCAAGCACAGGGGGATGATCACCTCCTTGTGATAACTGCCCCTTTGGCTGCTGGTTTTGCCAGATGGTTTCCATCACTGACAGGTTATTTCTCAGCTTCTCTTCCAGAGGGGGGGGGCAAAAAAAAATTAGAAAAGATCAACCATCACTTATTAGTTTTCCAAATCCAAATCAATCTCCATAAATTACTCTATTTATCTTAGTGCCGGAGAACACATCTGCCACATCTCCATAAATCTCAACACACACGCACTGCAGTCTTGCCTGTCGCTTGCTGGGATTTTGGACATCCTCAAGGCTGTAGCCCCTCACTCATACAGGTAGCCTGCAGGTGGTGGCACTAAAGGGGTCCCCCAGTAGTGACCTTGCAGAGGAATACTGCCTCTAATGTGCATATGCACCCATACATCGAAGCAGCACGACCCCAAACACATTTCTCTGAACAGCCCCAGGGTGTTCTCAGCAAGATCTGAAACTACTCTGACATCCCATAAAACATTCTTTAAAAGTGGTCTAGAAAATCTAGGTGCTGGGCAAGGAACCTACTTCACCTTTGCTATAATAAAGCAACTAAGGATTATTTTATTTGGCTAGGGAAAAACAACAACAACAACCACCCAAACCCACACTTGTAGCAGCCAAACAGGATTTCGCTATCAAAACCCTCTGAAACCATTCAGTCAGGCAGGCAGGTTTAAGTTAATCAGTATCCCAAAACGTGTTGCTAAGAGACAGGTGTCACGTCTTCCTGATAGAACAGCGAGGAAGTTCTTTTTTCAGGAATATCTGCGCGACAGAATGAACAATGGGGCGTCTCCCCAAAATATTTTCTGAAGACAATGCAAACAGGAAGACTAAAAATTGTATGGGTTTGTGTCATGGTTTAGGGTTTGTGTGTCTTTTTTTCCAAGTCACAACCTGAACATCCAGTTCTCAGAAGCACCTCTTGACTATTAACACACGTGGTCTATGAGGCCTATGCCGTTTGGCTGCGGGCTGTGTGTGGACCAGACAGCTCCGTTTGGGTCTGTCACGTGTGTCTAGCAGCAAAGCAGGCACACCAGTAACAACCAAACACCAGCAAGTTCAGGTGTCCCTGCAAGGCAATGAGCTGGCTTTCAAGAGCCAGCATTCCAGGCTTCTGAGTCTCCACATTTATGAAATTCCTTTCTTAATTTAGAGGCGAGAACTTGACTTTCTTTAGCTATAAAAGGAGAACAGATGAAGAGACAGACAGGCAGACTGAGAGACATTAACAGAGGTCCCAAGGGACCGGGACAAGAGCCTACCCTCTGGCTTCGCAGCGTGACACCTGCAGATTTGAAGTCAGGAAACTTGATGCCAGCAGTCTCAGGAACAGCCTGAAAGAGATCGAAACGGGATGTGTTGATGGAGGAAACACAAGAAACACGAGATTGCATACAGAGACTATCTGAAGGGGAAACACTGTTTCCTATGACAGAGAACCACCTGCCACAGCCACATGGCAGAGCTGAGGCAAGAGGAAAAACCCAAGCAATGGGATTCAGTGGGAAAATCCTAAGCAATTCACTGAGAAAAATACTGCAGTTCAAGGCACCTTTGGAGACCTCAAACATTTTTGCTTGGTTGGTTTAAATGCACTGCTCTATACAGATCCTTACACTCATCCCCACAAGCATAAACCCTAACCCTAAATGGTACTCCTTATACTAACATAGGAATACTTGCACAATATCATCCTTATTTAACTTAGGTCCATTTCACTGACCAAAACAGCCCGGGACTTCCCTAAATCTTATCTTTTGACTGCAAATTCTCTAAGGAATAAGCTGAGAAACGTCTTACCTGTAAGACATGAGCCCACTAATGGGGATGTAAGGACTGCACCCCTCCAAGGAAGCTTGCTGTTTATACACCTCTTGCCATTACGTCCACTTGTTAAGACAGCTTTCTTTTTTCCCCACTTCACATTTTTAGCCCAGTAATACAAGAGGGTTGCTGCTAGAAAGAGCATTTAGTTGCATTTCAACAAAGTGGGGGACGAAAAAGAAAGAAATCCCTTAAAAATCTGTGCTGCTGAGCAAAGCTCAAGGTGAGCATGCTTTTAAATGACTGAAGCAGCCTATCTGCAGGGCCCTGTGCACTGGTGTGGGCTCCTCCGAATGGCTCAGTGACAGCCATGTATCAATCTATGAATAGCCACAATATCCAAAATGCACACTCAACCATGCTGCTCCAAAAGGAAGAGTCACCTCAAATTCCCTGATTTCTTTGGAGACTGCACCTGCCTTGCTGCTCCCACATCTCTCTGCAGCTTCCTCTTTCTTTGGTCCAGACAAGGCTGAGACAACCAGGGCTGCCCCAAGATCATAAGCGATGCTGAAGGACAGTGACTCAATTCCTCGAGTTCCCTGTCAACGACTCTCACATCTCTATCAGCTATGCCTTGGTCTTGAGGTGGCACCTTGCAAACCACCCTGCGTGGCCAGGCATTAATATTTTTACTCGGTTATCTGTGGTCAGTCCAATAAAGAGAGGCCTCAGAGAGATTTCTAAATATGACCACGGTGGAAAAAGTATTCTCTAACTAGCAACAGGGCTCATGAACTTGTGGGGATCACTTTGATCTTTGGTCGGATGTAGCCTCCCTGCTTGGATTATTAGAGACAAAGAGGGCTGCAATCAAAAAGCAATCCTCTCTGCTTCCTTATGATGAAGGCTGGTTTTCGTGCTCCTCGAACTCTGCCCCCCTGAGCCTGTTGCTGAACACCCTGCCACAAGTAGCGAGGGTAAATCAGCATCGCTGGCTTAGCTCAGACAACTCTGACTGCACTCGGTGCATAAGCAATTAAATGGGTTCTTTTGCCTGCGTGCCTGTACATGCTGTAAACGCTTCAACCTCAATTGACTCTTTGGTAAATGATTTTCCTTTGTTGAAACGATGCTGATGCTCCCGATTCAAATTCTTAGTTAAAATGCAATTTTTTTCTTAACATTTCCTGGCTATAGTTGGTAATTGACTCCTAATGGACTCTGTCATGGTTGAAATGATGCTAGTGCAACAACAGAAACGGCTTCTCTGCCCACCCTGGCGTGCCTATCCACCGTGTGCCTGCAGACAGGCACCAGCCAACAAGCAGCATTGAGCTGGACTCCCTCACCTTGGCATCCTCAGCGTTTTTCCAGACCCATTCTCCATCACCACTCTTTTTTCGTTGCCACAAATGATGAGCTGCCTTCTTTTAGAGATATGCTAGCCATGGGTGAGCTTTACTAGCTCAACCCTTAAGGGAATTCAATGCACAAGGTGCCCACTGATATTATATTCACAGGGGCTGGGGGGGAGAAAAAAAAGCACAACCAAATGGAAAACAAACCCAACCACCACACCAAAAACATTTAAAAAAATAAACAAACAAAAAACCCCAGGCATTTTAAGGAAGTGGTGGTGGCCATCAGGCATACTTCATGAAGCAGTAACTGTTTAGCATTCGCTGCTTCTCTCCCCTCCCTGCACAGACCCTTTGGATGACAATGACACAAGTGCTCCCTCTTCACAAGGTGCAGGAATTCCCAGGGATTCACTGGAAACATCTGAGATTTTGTAACAGCCTTTTCCTACTGAAGCTGCTGAATTTAGCTCAGGCCACGCTGTCCTCTTTCCAGAAAGGGAAATTGAGGTGACATCAAATGTGAATGGAAACCCGTGCTCCAGGCTTCTAAGACTATAGCTCGGCTCAGGGAGAAATAAGCAATAGCTCCCAAAATAGAGGATTCCCCCAGCAGGGCTGCTCTGATCACAGCTGAGGATCAGGAGAGGGGCATGTACTGAGCCTGGGGAGATGCTGCTGAGATCCAGGAGTGGGGAAGGAAAGGGAAACCTGGACTAGAAAAAGCAAGCAGGTGAAAGACAGCGAGTCTCTGGGACAACCCTGCAGAGCAGCACCAGAATACACCTGGGAGAAGCAGGGACACAGATGCTTCTCCTGCCATGAGGCGTGAATGGCTGGCACCATTTCATCTCGTTTCTCAGGGAAGGAAAGGGAAACAGGATTCAAACCAGCATTTTTCAATAGCAGAGAGACAGAGAGCACACCAGAGGACTCTGACAACAGCTGCCTTAGACCGTTGTGCCTTCCTAAACGTGTAACTAAAACTGCATCTGCCAGAAGGCAGCCAGCAGCCACTCCCTCTAAAAAGCCGAGTGCCTGATCCCACTAGGACTGCTGAAGGAAACACACGTTACTCAGTCAGAGCACTAAGCATGAGGGGGAAAAAAGATAAATCTTTACAGGCTTCTCCGTCTCCTTTTTCTGCGGCAGCTTCTTCTTGGGAGCCTTGCGCTCGGCGCGTCTCTGCTCAGTGGTGGTGTCAGCAGCTGTGATGAGTTTCTGCAGGTCTTGGGTTCTCTTTTCTCTCTCTTTCTTCCTGGTCTCGATTTTGCGGAGCTCCTGGATGAGGTATTCTTCTTCTGCCACCTGCAGACCAGAGCATGGAAACACAATCAGAGCAGCAGAGGATGCCTAGCAATGCAAGGGGGCCATCTACCGATAACAGCCCTGCTCTGGGCCAGCCTGGGAATGTCTTTAAGCTCCCTTACCTAACATCCTGCAGATAAATTCGATGTGACATTATCTTTAATGCAGCCTTACCCTGCATCCATGGCAATGCCAGTCTACAAAGTGGCAGGGGCTGGGGGGTAACATACATCCATGATGTACCCTTCAGCAGCATCCCTAAGTGATCAATCTCTCCTCCAGGGCCAAGAGCACAGACAGGAGGGTAAAAAAGGCCAAATATACCGTAGTTGTAAATGCAGCGCTGTGAAAAGCTGGCTCCCCTCCCCAGGCTAGAGCTTAGAGCAGCTATGCCAGCATCAGCACACCTGTCAATGTGGGAAGGACAAGTGTGTGAACTTGTCATTAGAGGGAACTACTGACAGAAAAGGATGCTCTCCCCCAGCCTTTGGGGAACACACACTTCCTTGACCTCTAAACCCTGGGACTGTTACACAGCTTCAACAAAGAGGAGAACCAAATTTGCAGATTTACAGTCTTTGATGTTTTCTGGCAAGATTTTTACTCTAAAGGAAATAATCCTGTCCCCACGGGACTCAGGGACTCCTAAGGACATGGATGTGAGAATTTGCTTCTACTCAGAGCTCTGCCTAGTACAGTAAGTGTCACAAAGAAGGTGCTGGCAGCTACCAGAGACCATAACTCTGTGCACCAAGTCTTCTCTCCTGTATAGTCACATTTCTCAGATGTCGTCCTTTTGTATCCCTTAAAATGACAGGAACTCAACAACAAAAGCAGTCCTTAGGTGTTGCTCTTTTCTTATCCAGTTTTCCTTTCCTTTTCCCACCCTCTAGCCTATTTCATCCACCTACTGATTCAACTCATACATCTTTTTCAGCAGCGATGCTCTCTTCCCCAAGTTACCTGCTCTGGTGTCCTATTGTACAGCCTTTCCAGTTGCTCCTTCCTTCGCCTCTCGTGGCCAGCATCAAAGACTGGGATTTTCAGGTCTGTGCCTGGCGCTGCACGAATATTAGCCAGCTTGGCACAGATGTGATAATACCGTTCCTTCAGGTCCTCCACGGATCTTTTCTGTGGAAGACATCACAGGAGGACAACGTTATGAAAGAACCAAGCAAAAACCTTGTGCAGTAGCCAGCGAAGGACCACTGGCTGAAGGAGGTCAGGTTGAGTACAAGACACGGTGCTTACGAGGAGCTTTGCCAGTCTCAGTGGAACCACAAGGAAGAGGGAGTTTCTCAGTGAACAAAATCATGGGATCACAGCTACTGCTTTAGAAACACCCACCAGAGGGTCCACCATTACCGCTGAGGGTTAGAGACAACACAGCAGTGGAGCACTGCCAGATAAAAGGATGCAAGGATAGCTGCCTGAGAGCAGAAAACCTGTGAACAGGAAACTGTGACAGATGTACTGGAGGTCTCCTCTGAGCTGCTCCAGACAATGGCTATTCAAGCCATAACCAAGAAGGTATCAGCTGCAACAATTCACTGCCCATCATTGCACGGAGTCTGAGCTGTGTTCTCTTACTCCAAGCAGCAAAGGTGTTTGGGCTGCCCAGCTAGGCAGACTCCTGTCATTCCACTTTGCTGCAGGCTCTTCACTTCAGCCTTTCAGAGGGCAACAAAAACCTCCAGCATCTGGAGATGTTCTGTAGGAGTCACATCATTGCCCTGTGTCACCAGGAGGCGTGAAACCAGCAGTTAGAGGAGATTTACAATCATGACACCAGGCTTGCATCTGCAGACCACTGATGGTCTGATGCTTCACAGCAGAGATGACAGAAACCTGCACAAAGTCAGACCACAGGTCACGAGCAGCACCAGGGAAAAATCCCCGTTAGCAGATCCTTCTCCCAGGGCCTAGACTGGAACCCAAGACACCTCTCCTGCTCAGCTAAAACTCCCCAGCTGCCTTATCTTCAAGGAACAATGAGTTGTTCTGGCAGGGACAAACCTTCTAACTTTCTAATAAAACACAACAGGGAATAAGCACAAGTCAGAGTGGATTTAATTACAAACAAAGCAAGCAGCAATGCCTTGTGCTGGAAATTCAATATTCCTTGCTGCCAATAATTCATTATTTTCCCCTAATTAAGTTGATATAAAGGGTAATTTGGTCTTTGCAGTGCAGCAAGCCCTGCACGTGCCATAGCAGCAGGTTGCTAGAAGCACCTTGTCTCCCAGGACTCACCTTGAACTGCTGGTGATCGTAGCGGTCGTGAATCACCACAAAGCGCAGATCAAAACGCCGAGCCAGGTCAAAGAGGTGGTCTGTCTCAGCTTTGGTCCATGCATCATCATGGAGATACATCTGGTACTCCTGCTCCGAGTAGACAGGTACCTGCACTGTCTGTGTAAAGAGAAGAAAACACAGTAGCACTCCCCTCCTCACTGCCAGCTGGTAGGGGCCAAGATACTTGAGCCAAGGACAAGAGCAGGGCACTGACAGGAGGGGGATGCCATGACCCTGAGCAATGGATCCTGCTAGGAAACACAGCAAAGCAGGCAGAGGACTTGATAAGAAGCAAGGTGTGATCTCAGGGTCACAAATATGACGTTCTGGGGAGCCTATCGGGAGCTACTGCCTGTGAGGCTGACACCTATTTCACAGGCAGAGGTCAGGAACCCACATCCTGACAGGTTTCAAAACCATCAGGCTAACGTGATGGTGAAACTAAGGCTGAGACAGCTGCCCTGCATTCCTCCCATAGAGCAGCACCAGTCTCTTGACATAAACTGCTCTGAAGTCAACTCTTCACTTGGGCTGGGACATGCTCACTTGTACAGGAAGAACAGGAAAGGCAAGGAGTGGTAGTTCCCAGCCTTTTGCACACCTCCTGCTTTGATATGCAACCCATTTCTTTCATGTTTGGTGCAGACAGTGCTGTGAAGATCTGAAAGGCTGGGTGCTGTACAACTGAGGCCCATAAACTTGGCAAACAACTTTGTCCCTTTCTGCCTCATCCACCCTTTCTCCAGCAGAGCCACAGGGCCAAGCAACAGTCCAACTCTAAGTGTCCCAGCTGCCTAAAAATCCAGACCCAAACCCTGTCCCCAGCCTGGAACTGCAGTGCAAGGGCTCATCCAGAACACGAGTGTCACAGGAGGACTAAAGCAACAGTACCTACTGTATTAGGGGAACTCCTAGTGCATGGGAAAGCAAAAGTGGAAACAAGTCTCTGCTTTCCTCCTTTACAGCTCTCACTACTCCTGCAGTTGAGCTCTGCTAAGCCTGAGGAGGTCCTGCCTCCACAAGAAAACACAGTGTGCATGTCAGCAGCATATATGCTCCAGCACCTTTATGCCCTATTGTGTCCTACACCAGAAAAGTCATCCTCATGAACTCCATACAGACCACAGGAGCATTTCTGAGCCTTCAATTCACAGTCTTTAGGTTTACTGCCTTTCATCCATCACTTAGATACAGAAGCATAAAGGTAAAGCATAACATGCTGCACCTCAGCCTTCAAGTGTTACTTCCACCAGGAGAAGCACCACCCTATTAGACACCACAAAGGTGCCCTGTGTAGGTCACGAAAAAGGACTAAAAAACGTCAAGAGCAGGACACAAACATGAGAAGAGCCAGTGGGGCCCAATGCAGTGGATGGAACAGAAGGTGGCAGATGCCAGGTCAGACAAAACAATGGGAAACAGCAAAAAGCAGTCCCCAAAAGACTTCCTCAGCTGCTTTCACGGCTGCTCAGGTGAGAACTCATCAGCTGGGAAGCTTGAGCCAACCACAGGATGACTACAAGGTCAAATGCAATGTAGCCATGCAAATGCAAATGCAAACATGACCCCCAGAGAGGGATTTCCAGCAGAAACTGGCAGGGTTTCAGTTGCACCACAAGACCTTCCTGGGGATACCAACTATAACTCTACTGACCCACGCTCAGGAAAGATGAACTGAAATGGGAACAAGCACAGAGAAGGAGAATAAGGATGAGTAATGGGGTTGAGAGCTTGTGTTCCTACAGCAGACTGGAAGAGAAAGGAGCAAAGGAAGTCTGAAAGGGAATCTGACTGCAAGCTTCAAGTATGCAAGATGGAATGAAAGGAATATCCACAGGAAGAAAAGAGCAACTGAAATAAGGACAAAGACATTGGCTTGCAAAGAAATGCCAACTTAACATGGCAAATTTAACCTGGAAATGAGAAATGGAGCAGAGAGCAGCTTCCCAAGAAAGCACAGGGGCAGGAATACCCAAGTGCTTTTCAAAAGGAACTTGATCAGTTTATGAAAGGGACTGGGTGATGCAGGACTTGAAAGAGCCAAGAAGAGGATTCAATGGCCCAGAAAACTCCTCTCAGTCCTACACTTCACATTATAAACTCACACAAGGACGGGCATTAAATTAGCTGAAACTGCTCAGCAAAGATCCTGGAGCCATCAGACAGCTCTGTGAAAACATCAGCAGCGGTGAAAGGACAAACCAAGGATTAAAAATGACCAAGGGAAAAAACCCCAGAGAAACACAGCCAATGTACAAACCTGCCATGCTTCCATAAGTGAAACACCAAGCCCTAGTCCAGCCATTTCAAAAGACAGGGTATTTGAACACAACAAGGATGGCGCAAGACACCAAAGGGCAGATGTTTGTCAAATTATGGAAAACAGTACATAGCACAGACAATTTACTACACCTTGCAACACAAGATCTCAGAGGTACCAAATGAACCAGCAAGGCAGCAGTTTAAAATGAACAAAGGAAAGCAGCACCTTTGCACACCACACAAAATTAACCTGCAGAACTCGTTACCATGGGATATTCACAAAGCAGCTTTCAGCCCTGAGTGTACCTAGCCGGAATTATTAAACACAAATTCCAAGTTCAGAAATCCTTAAGCCAAAGACCACCAGAAGCCAGGAAAAAAATGATCTCTATTTGCCCCATTCTCATGCTCTTTCTCTCTAAGCCTTTACTAATGGTAGCCAGAAACAGAATATCGGCTGAGAGGAGCTTTTGCTCTGAACCCAGTGAAGCTGCTTTTGTATTCCTACTCCACACCCTGGATCAAGGCTCAATGTACACTGCGAAACCTTAAGTTTACATTTTGGATTTTGCAAAGAGGAAGGATTTGGGTGGGAGACTGCGAGCAGAGAGAAAAGGCAAAGCAACTGAGCAGTGATGCAGGAGCCAGGTTAAAGAGCTTGAGTGACCAGTGGGACAAACTACACAGGAAAATGGATTTGTGCCAAGAGGAGTAAGAGATTCCTGCGGTGGTATTGAGTATGTGAGAAGGAAGCCACAAAAGAGCCTGGAAAAGTACTAAAATTCCTCTGACGCAGCAAGTATCTGCAAAACTCCTCATCAGTGCCTTCCACCCTCTCAACCACAGATCCACAGGGGTAACAACTTGCTCCTAACGTGGTGTAATTGTGCATGTGCAGATGGCAGAGGTCTGTACCACTAATCTAAAGGTTGCAGCCTTGCTGAAGGCTCCTCTGTCTGTCAATTCATGGTATGTGATAAAGTTAAGGAAAAAAGAATCGTATAATTACAACACCCATGTGTGGGCCCCTCTGATAAACTCAGTTGAACTCAGCCAGAAACTGTTACAGCAATAGAGTCTTAGAGACAACTACACTCCCGAAGTTTCACTCAAGGTAGGTGCCTTGTCTGAGTCGCGCTTCAGACTTCCACCCTAGACATCAGAGAAGAGAGACCACGGGAGGCTCTTACCAATGTGCCAGCAAGAGGAAAAGCATCAGAGCTTGAGCCTTCAAACATACAAGGTCAACCAACCACTTAACTCTGCAGGAAGCCAGGCTTTGTTAGAGCTGATGCTTTGTGGGTTACAAACTTAAAATGTTGTACACAGTTATACACAAGCTGAGCTTTTGTGGAAGCATGTTAGCACACCCAGGATTTTTTCCCCTTCAGATTTGCGTCATGAAGGGGTTTAAATTACATTACGGAGGCACCCTAACTCTGCTCCTTCCTAACTTCGGAGGTCCTGACTTTGAAATATAAATCTTGATGTAGTTTTCTTTGTGCATACACATGAAAGCCCCGACCACTCAAAGCAGATACATCTGGGACAAAGGACAGCGGGAGATTACAACAACACATTGTGACAATTTAATGTAAGGCGCAAAGAACAGGGCACTGCACCACACTGATACCACAGAAGCAATTTCAGAGGCAACGCCATGTAATTTAGCATCTGTGCTGGAATCTGGCCAAGAGGCTGCAAGCCAGCTTTTTGGCCACGAAGCTCAAGCGAATTTTTTTCCATACTGGGCAAAATAACAAGACTTAGGACTTTAATGTCTCGTTCACCATAGGGTATCTTTTACTACCCAGAGTCTGTAATCGGGGGAGGATGTTGGTTAGGAACTGAACTGATGGCAGAGTGCCTCCTTACCAAATCAACAACTGCAGACCTGAAACGCAGGGGGCTCTGAGCACACACTGAGCCCATTTAGCTTGGACGATTTCATAGTCTGTGGTCACAAGGCTACAATTTAAAATGCAATTGCCAAATCTAACTCAGCTTTCACTTGTTGAAAGAACCAACTTCCCATCTGGACATTCAAGCTAACCAAAGGGTATTTTCCAGTTGCTATTTATATACTTCTGTTTGAAAGCGCCCCCACTTACTTTATTGAACCTGGCAAAAGGGTAGTCCTTCCCCTCCTCTGCTGCTCTCCTCCAATGGTAGAACATTGCTCCGTCTTTTCTCGCTGGGTTGGTGAAAGGCATCCACTTCCAAGGCCGGACTTTCTTGGACCCCAGTTTCGCTTTGACTGTTCGATAACCCTGAGTTGTATCGCTTGGCAGCAGTGGAGGTGCATCCCTGTGGTGGAGAAAAGCACCGGCTGATGAGAAGCAAGAAGCAGCCCAGGACAAACGCAAAGAGATTTCAGATTTGGAGCAGGATCTGCCACCACAATGTTTAGGGTGAGAAAACCTGAGTTTAAGCTTTATTCCAGGTTTTGCACTTCCCAGCCTGCAACGCTTCCTGCATCAGAAGACAGCACAGATGGGTTTGAACAGAACCAGCTGGAAAGCAAACTATGCAAGGCAAGAGACCTCTAGGGCAAGGGCATGATCCATAGCAAGCTAAATACAGGCTGCAGCAGAACTCTTTGCAGAAGTAAAAGCAGGTGCTATTCCCACTTGCAAATAAAAGAGAACTAGATACAAAAGGGTAAGGACACTGCGTTGACTGCACTAGGCTATTGTGCCTGTACCTAATTCATCTCCTGCACAGACCAAACCCCTCAAATTTAGCAGAGAGACACTGTCCATGACTGTCTAAGAGAAAAAGGCACAAGCACAGGCCAAGCACAAAGGGCAATCATTCTGGGAAGAGAGCCCATGGTTTCAAGGGGAAGTTGTCCTGCCAAAAACAGCCCAGGCCACCCCACAACCTGCACAGGTGACCATAAGCTCTTACTTTTTGTCAGAGTAGAGGAGTGCATAAACTTCCCGGTGCATTCCTTCTGGCCTCTTAAACGTCAATGTCTCTGAAGATTTCTTGGATTTTTTCTGAAAAAAAAAAATAGATTAATTTTAGATTCAGAAGTAGCAATCCCCGAGGGAACATGAAACTACGTAACCTGGTACCCTGTGATGGTTTTCACTTTTATCTCCTTTTAGGCACCTTGAATTTCTCCAGGAAAGTTCTCAGTGAAAGACATCAACAGAGCAAGCATGCCCAGTTTCAGTGATAGCACTCACCACTACTTAGACTCTTGCTGTTGCTGATAACAGGCACTTAAATTCCAAGTTTTAATATCTGGCTGCAGTTTTCAGTGGCCAGTGCACCATGCCTTTTTTCAGTAGACAAGTACTGTCCTCAAGTGAAGGAATTAATGCATTTAAGTAACTGATTTTCTGCCTTTCAAAGAAGATACTAAGAAACGTCTTCCCACACTCTCTTAGTTTTTGTCACTTTGTTCTGCAGCAACTTCAGTTTTTACCGGTCCTGACCAAGGTCTTGCAGTAGCCCCATGTCAAAACTGCTGGTATCACCTACAAAAGTAAACCCCCATTCCTGCCTCCGCTCTCTCATTTACAGGAATTTTTCTGACGTAGCATCTTCATACCAGGAATACAGGGTAGACAACTCAACACAGTCCCTAAAACCTTGTCAGAATCGATGGTTTCTAAGACACAGCCCACATATCACAGAATCACAGCATATTAGGAGTTG